TTCCTGCCCTGGGAGTGCATCGCTCCCATGTGTGCCTTCCAGGCCAAAGGGCAGGGATTCCTTTACATTCCTGATTCTTGCACTGCTAAACAACTCAAGGAGAGATCTACTAGCGTCGTGATTATTGTCATAGAGGGGACTGCTAGTGTTAAGGAACTTGAGGAAGCGTTTTCTGACTACATAGGGTCCAAATGGCACTGCACTGCCCGTATCATTGGCCCTGACACCTATGTGATGAGATTTCCTAATCAAAGGGATGTGAAGAAAGCATGTTATAACGATAGGATGATCCTTAGATCCTGTGGTGTGGTAGTTAAGATCGTTCCTTGGTCGGCCAACATTGGGGCTAAAGGGACTATGGAGATGGCATGGGTGAAAGTTGCTAATATCCCTCTGGAAAGAAGAAATGAGAGAAATGTTGCTTATGTTTCTTCCCTGGTGGGCGTCCCGCTCGAGATCGACATGGCCACCCTACACAAACCTGAATTTGTCAGGGTCCGGCTGGGATGTCGCAATATGGACGAGCTCCCTGGGGTTGCTGAGGCAGTGTTGGGCACACACTTCTTTGATTTCTTCTATGAAATCGAGAAGGTGTTGGTTCGTGACCCTGAAAGAGAAAAAAGGGATGTGCAGACAGAGGCAGATGTTAACAAATCCCCTTTTGTGAGAACTTCCACATGGGGCAAGCATGATCCTAAGTCTGGACACAAAGGGAATGATGCTGGATGCAGTAAGAATGGTGATGATGGGTTGGTGATCCTGTCGAGGAAAAGGAGGAAGAAAGTGCGGAGTCTGAGGAGTCAGAAGATAACACATTTCTTATTGAAACCATGGCTGTGGAGGCTTACAACAAAAAAAATGCGCGGGCCTCTCAGGCAATGCTAGGTGTTGTTGACACCAAGCATAATGCTGATGAGATTCAGGTAGAAAACAATGCTGGCACATGTTCACCTGTTGCTGTTATGTCTCATGATGATATAGCTCATTTGGATGTGGCTATGGACTATAAGCAGGTGGTGGAAATGGAAGGAGAGGACATTTCCAAGCTGGAGAAGTCAGAATACCTGGTACAATACCCTGCCTCCCCCTCTGAGGATTTGGGAGAGGTGATTCCTACCCCTCCCCTTTTATCTGAAGAGGTTCAGAGGTTTAGCTTGAGGAACTTGCAAAATATGGAAGGAAGAATGCAAGAGAGAGCTATTGCCATTTCCAAGAAGAGAAATCTGGAAGGTAATTCAGCTAATCATAACTCCTTTGATGCACTATCTAATCCTGAACTTATGATTCATGCTGTGAAAATGGGGGTAGCTTTCCCTGACAATAACTTCTCTAATGTGGATATTATTAGAGAACTTGAAATAGTCAGGGGGGAAATGTCCAAATTAGAGAGGGAACAAAATGTAAGAGTAGAGGAAGAAATGATGTATATTACTAATGGTAAGGGAGACCAAACCCCTGTTACTACTGATTGGGGGGATGGGGATGAGGACATGGAAGAGCAATTTACCTTAGTGCGGTCTAGGAAAAGGAAAAGCCCTAAAGTGAAAGTGGCTATTTCCAGACCCATCACTAGGAGTCAGAAGAGTCCTGTATAAAAAACGCAAGCTGGCAGCCCTGTTCATAATACCAGGGCCACCAGAGGGGGGAGAAAAGGGAAAAGACATAAATGATAGGTCTATTTTGGAATTGTAGGGGGGCAGGGAAAAAAGGGATGAAAATCTGTCTTTCCCATATGATTAAGGACCATTCCCTTGACTTTATGTGTCTGCAAGAAACACTTAAGAAGAATTTTTTGGATAGTTATTTTAGGAAGCTCGATCCATACAACTTGTTTGAGTGGGAATGGATCCCCTCAATTGGCAAGGCTGGAGGCATTCTGTGTGGGGTTAGGAAGGAGAAGTTTGAGGTAGTTGCTTGGAGAAAAGGCAGGTTCATTCTCCAGGTATCTCTCTATGATATTAATATGAAGAAGATTTGGACTCTTTGCAGTGTTTATGGAGCAGCCCATGAGGGGGATAAAAATGATTTCCTTAGTGAATTGGCTGATTTCTGCTGCCATATTCAAACACCTTTGTTGATTGGGGGAGATTTCAATATCGTCAGACACGGTGGAGAGAAGAATAAAAGATGACGTCGAACAGCACATTCTGACCTGTTCAATTCAATCATCAACACTATGTGTTTGAGTGAGATTTATATGAGTGGGGGACTTACACTTGGTCTAATAACCAAGCTCATCCTACCCTGGAGAAATTGGATCGTGTTCTTATGAGTAATGAATGGGAGGAGATGTTTCCTATGGTTAATATGAAGAAACTCGTTCGGGAGGTGTCTGATCACAATGCTCTCTTATTGTACTCTGATAATCATGTTATCAGAGCCCCACAAAAAAGAGAGTTCCGATTCGAAATGAGCTGGCTAAAATCTGAGGACTTTATTCCTCTAGTTAGCAAGATCTGGAATCAGAATGTGAATGCTACCGACCCTGTTGATATTCTAAATATCAAATTAAAAAGATTTAAGAAGTTTTTCAAAGGCTGGGGGTCGAGCAAGTTTGGTCATGAAAAGAAAAGGAAGCAAGAGATTAGAGAAGAACTTGCTCTCATTGAAAAAGCAGAAGACGAAGGGACTATAGATCATGAGATGTTTTGTAGGAAGACTGATCTCCTTGTGGAGATGAATGAAATTCTTGTTAATGAGGAGCTTTTTCTGCTGCAGCAATCGAATGAGAGATGGCTGCTTGGGGGGATCGTAACACCGCTTACTACCAAAAAATTGCTAACGGTAATAAGCGGAAAAACATGATACATTCTCTTCATGTGGGGGATGCAGTGATTGAGGGGACTGAAAACCTGCTGGAGCATGCCACTGATTTCTACAAAAATCTTTTTGGATCGGCCCAGGGAAACATGTTCCATCTTGACCCTGGGATTTGGGGGGTAGAGGAAAAGCTCGATGAGCTGGACAATGAGATTCTTAATAGACCTTTCACAGAGGAAGAAGTGAAGAGAGCCTTATTTTCCATGAAAAGCAACAGGGCCCCTGGCCCGGACAATATCCCCGCTGAATTTTACCAGCAGTGCTGGGAGATAGTGAAGGAGGATATCATGAGATTGTTTGCTGCTTTCCATGCAGGAGAGCTGGACGTTTGTAGACTGAATTATGGTATTATTACTTTGTTGCCTAAAATCAATGGGGCCAATAAGATCCAGCAGTTTAGGCCGATTTGCTTGCTGAGATGTCCCTACAAGTTAATAACTAAAGTGCTTGATAACAGGGTGGCCCCTTTTGCTGATAAATTGTTTAGTAAGCATCAAAATGCCTTTATCAAGCATAGAAACATCATGGATGGGGTATTGTCGTTGCACGAAATTCTGCATCATACTTACAACAAGAAGAAGGTGGGTATTGACATCAAGCTTGATTTTGAGAAAGCTTATGACAAAGTGAACTGGGACTTTCTTTTGGAATGTCTTGAGATGAGAGGGTTTGATCCCACATGGTGTGGGTGGATTAAAAGTGTCCTGGTTGATGGCACAGTCAGTGTGAAGCTGAACAATGTGATGGGGCCATATTTCAAGAGCTTTAAAGGGGTTAGACAGGGGGATCCTGTGTCGCCCTTCCTTTTTAACATTGCTGCTGAATGCTTGTGTAAAATGGTGCTGCAGGCGCAGAGAAATAATGTAGTTGTGGGACTTGCTCCGGATCTTGTTGAAAATGGAGTGGCAATACTGCAATATGCAGATGATACAGTCCTATGCATAGACCATGATTTGGATAAAGCTGTGAATATGAAGTTGTTGTTATACATATTTGAGCTCATGTCTGGGCTTAAAATCAATTTCCAGAAAAGTGAGATCCTGTGTGTAGGGGGGGATGATGAGACTCTTAAAGCATATGCTGATATTTTTGGTTGTCAAATAGGGCACTTCCCCGTGAAGTATCTTGGGGTGCCAGTGACCTTTTCTTCTCTGCGAGTAGCTGACTGGAACTTTTTAGAGGCCAGATTCATTAAAAGATGTGACTCTGGCTTGGGGGGCAATGCCTCGTCTGGGGGACGTTTAACACTGCTTAATGCTAATATTTCTAGCATTGCCTTTTATTATATGTCCATGTACCTTTTATCCAAAACTATACTTGCCAGGATTGACAAGTATAGGAGGAGATTCTTCTGGCATGTGACCCAGAATAAAAAACGATATTACCCGGTTAAGTGGACTAGAATTTGTAGATCCAAGAGTAAAGGGGGGCTGGGTGTGAAAGATCTTCATAAGCAGAATCTCAGCCTGCTTACTAAATGGTGGTGGAAGTTAGAAACTAAATCTGGACTTTGGCAGGATATTGTGAAAGCTAAGTACTTCAGCAGGGCTACCGTGGCTGATATTAAAATGAAGTGCAATGACTCACCATGCTGGAAAGCCATTATGAAGGTGAAATATCTTTATATGGCAGGGAGGAGAGTAATTGTGCAATCTGGAAACATTGCCAGACTGTGGGTTGATCCCATTGGGGACAATATCCCTATGGTTGAGCAGTTTCCTCGTCTTTTCTCTATTTGCAATTATCCTGAGTGCACTATTGATAAATGCTTAAATGTTGATCCCTCCTCATTCTTTAGGAGAAGGTTGAATAGTGAGCTTAATGACCAGTGGGTTGTTGTGAGTAAATTGGCTAGAGAAGCATGTGTTTCAGACGCTGCTGATGTGATCAAATGGGGCTTGGGTGGGAAAACCTCTTTTACCACCAAATCTGTTTATTCGTTCCTGGAAAAGAATGTTGCTGGATGCGATTATAGATGGATCTGGAGTGCCAGAATCCCTCTCAAAATTCAAATATTCTTGTGGCAACTTTTTCAGGATGCTGTCCTGACTAGGGATGTGATGAAACACCGAGGGTGAAAAGGGAACCCAAAGTGTTCTTTTTGCGGAGGGAGAGAAACCGCACAGCACCTGTTCTTTGCTTGCCCTGTTGCCAGGGTAACCTGGAGGACAGTGGCATGTATGTTTGGCACTGCTTTGTGCCCTGATAATATTTGGCAAGCTTATTCATGGTGTTATACGTTCTTCCCTGGAGGGAAAAAGTTTTATACGGCAGGGATTGCTGCTATGTGCTGGGCGATCTGGTCGTGTCGTAACAGGGTTACTTTTGAGTTCAAACCGCTTACAAACCCATTTGAATGTACATTCTCTGCCTGTGCTTTAATTTGCTACTGGGCAGGAATGATGAAGCAAGAGGATGCAGTTGCCATGAGGGACGGGGCGAAGATGCTGAAGGAGAATGCATCGATGATGATGAGGATCTGTGCTGCAAACCACGAAGAGGCGTCCCGTTGATCCTGCTGGAGATGTTCCCTTGTGGTCTAGCTTGATGTTTGAGTTGCTCTCCCCTGCGTGGGCTTGAACTTATGTTGCTCGACTGTTGTGAGCCTGGGTGCTGTGACTTTTGGGGGCTGTTGGCCCTGGTTCCTAGCTTTAGATGTATGGTGTCGTCGGGTTTTCGCCCCACATCGAGTAATCTCGATGGCGAGTGCTTGCAGTGGGTTTCCCGACGATGCGTTGAACTCGCTTTCCCTTTTCTCCTTTCTTGGACTGTTGTATTTCCGTTATGTTGCAGTAATGGAAAGGGGTAATGCCCGGTTCAAAAAAAAAGTATCTGGTTCAGGAGTAGGAAACGGATGTGGCTTGGCTTTAAAGCATGGGAATCGCTTGCTAAGAGCAGTGCTGTTCCGTAAGCATGGAAGGCAAGGCCATTGATTGTATCCATGAGTTGCAGTGAGAGATTGCTCCAGACCAGACCTCCCAACTGCAGGGGATGGCAACAACTGGTCCAGCGAGCTACAGTCAGATCCAGGCATGCATGCATACTGGCGGCATCAACAACTAGGAATTGCCGGTCTATTCGTTCGCCTTTAGTGATTTTCTCTTGTTGTTTTCCTGAGGACTACTCTTGGGTAGATGCATGGCCTTGAACATTATGATGATTAACAGATATAGGAGTATATGTTGGGAGCGAAAAGATCGAGTGAGGGTTGACAGAGCATGGTGACCATGGTTGTTGGATGGAGAACCAAAGTGAGCCATGACAGTTGACACACACATGCTGATATAAAGCCAGCCACCGGCCGGCAGTGCTCAGCAAAGTTGGGCTCGGTTCAACCTAAGATTCTTCCTTCCCTTGAGAGTAATTCCACCATCTACTCTCTCTTGGAGTATGCTAAGGTACGACGCACTAGCAGCATTCGAGAGTCTTCGATCCTTGTGGCGAATAAAAGTGGGGAGTTCAATCTCCGAAATCAACAAAAGCTTTGCGCCTCTTTGGGGCTAACAGGCAGCTACCACTGTTTTTTTCTTCTTCATGAAAGTGGAAGGGCCTCAAGAAATGGAAAGATATCAGATGCAGATTGAAAATCTCTTTCGGTGGCGCTAGAAGTTGGCACTAATCACCACTGCTTTACTGATGATCCAGCCCATCGATGCCTCAAATATTCCGATTCCCATGGCAATTTCAGTGGATGCAGAAAATATGTAAAGATATATCTGAGCAGAACGGCACAAGGGGCATCATGGCAATTCCACTACAGAATGATGCAACTCATTGTTTATATTCAGACAGGAGGCTGCCCAGCAGAGTAGGTGTAAAATTCAATTATCTGAGAGTCATGATGTGGATTGACAAACAGTGCAGAAAGATATGGCCAGAAAGCATGCGATAAGGCCCACAGACGCTCTGTAAATTCTGCCTAACCATGGATGGAACCTAAACTCTGGAATTGTTTTCTCTTGTTCTTCCAAAATATATTTTCACTCTTAAAAATTACATGAGAGCTATGTCTCGCATGACGGAAGCTGCTTTCGCTGAAGGGGAATCGCTCCTCGTGCAAGCAACTGGGCCGGCCCATCAGTGCACTTTTAATTTAAAACAGCACGGGTATCGATCAAAGTACCTCCAGGGAGAAATCCGGGAAAATCCTATACGCCGCTCGCTGCGTCGTAATGTCGACGCTTCGCACAGGGAGTGCGCGAGCGAACGACGCAGTGGGCCGGCCCAACTTGTAGCGATGCTTTTTTCTTCTTCTATTTGTTTTTAGTTATTTCTGTTTCTTTTTCTTTTCTTCTTTTTTCATTTCTTCTTTTCTTATTTTTTCTGTTTGCTTTCGTTCTTTGGTGTGTTATTTATTTTTCTTTTTCTTTCTCTTTATATTTTTTCAAATGTATCAATTTTTGTTTGGGTTTCCGTAAAATGTTCAGTTTTCAAAAAATGTTCTCAAAATTCAAAAAATATTCTCTTTATACAAAAAAGAACAAATATATCAATTTTTATTTTTTGTTCACATTTTCAAAAAATGTTCGCGCTTCCTAATTTGTTTGGTATTTTTCAAATTTGTTCTTTGTTTTAAAATTTGTTCTCAATATTCAAAAAAGTCCGTGCTTTAAGACATTGTTCATGCTTCCAAATTTGTTCTCAAGATTCAAAAAAATATTCATGCTTTAACAAATTGTCCAAATTTTTCTTCGTTTCAAAATTTATTCTCAAGATTCAAAAAATGCTCGTACTTTTACAAAATGTTTATGTTCAAATTTTTTTCTCTAAATTCAAAAAATGTTTGGGATTTTAAATTTTGGTTCAACATTTAAAAATATTCAGAATTTTTTTCAAATTTTGGTTGTTTTTTTCGCAATTTCTTAATTTGGTCCATAATTGAAAAGTTGTACGAAAGGAATTTTGTTTGTAATTTCTTAACCAACGTTCAGTTTTCGCCACTCCTTTTAGTTCTTTAAATCCGACACTACAAGTTTGTCAACAACTATCTTTGGTCGCACTGGCAAAGCTTGTTGCCTGCATAGCAGGAGATCAATGGATAGACTCCCAGTTCTCGTATCCTGTGCGGAGCGACAGTTCAGGCGCACCCTATGCGGAGCGACCGCAATTTGCCGCAGAACGCGGCGAATAGGAGCTCCCGAAATCCGGTGCTGCTAGCCACTCGCCTGCTTCAAGTTCGGCCATCTTTCTTGAGGCAATTCGAGCCGGTTTTCTCAGGGTTTTTTTTCGTCTTTTTTTTCTATTCCTTTCTTTCTCTGGTTTCTTTGTTCTTTTTTGCATTTGTTACTCTGATTTTATTTTTCTTCGGTTTACTTTGTTTCTTTTTCTTTTTCTTTTTTTGTTTCTTTTGGTTTTCATTCTACATTTTTTGTATATGTCAACAAAATTTTGTAATACATGTTTGACACGTTTTCAACACAAATTTAATATTTTTTAAACATATGGTGAATATTTTTTCTATCCACATTTTTAACATTGTAAAATGCTTGATTAACATTTCATGAATACTTGGTTAATATTTTTTCTATTTTTTTTAAAATGCTTGATTAACAATTTTCAATTGAAAAGATTACTTTTTTTAATATGTGGTCAATTTTTTTTCTATACACATTTCCATTTACCAAACGCTTGATTAACATTATTCGAACAATTGTTCAATTATTTTTAGTGCTTGATTTTTATTTTTATATACATGATATAAAAATTCACCATTTTATTAATACATGGCCAACATTGTTATACACATCTAACATTTCCCAAATGCTTCATTAACATTTTCCAAATACTTGTCCAACATTTGTTTTCACATGCTTGATTAACCCTTTTTTATATACATGACTAAAAAATGTTCATCATTTTTTAAATATATGATCAATATTTTGTCTGCGCTTGTTAAAAAATTGAATGCTTGATTAACATATTCTAAATACTTATTCAACATTTTTCAAATACTTCTTAAATTTTTTTAAAAACATTGTAGAGAGTTTTTGTAATGTATATATTTAAAATATTTTAAAGCATAAACAAGCTAAAAAACTAAAGGAAAAACAGAAAACGTAAAACGTAAAGAAAGAAAGAGGCCGTGCGTGGGCCGGCCCATCTCGCTCCCCCCTTCAGCGAGTCGGAGGCTGGACTTGCTGAAGGCGAGATATAGGGTCACCATGAAGTTTTTAGGAGCAAATATTCTTAGCGCACTAATGGGCCCGCGATAGGCAGGTCCACATGTGCACCTGATAAAACCATTCAACTTTTAGCCCAGGAAGTAAGATTACGGCACAAGCGGGCAATCTCAGGGCCAGTAGGACAAACCCGAAATCACTAATTAAGGAGTACTTCTTGCGGAGATCACTCTAACCTCCTCAGATTGCGACAAGTGGCATGCTGCATGTGCGCCACTTGTCACAACCTGGGAGTTTTCCCTTTTTTCGTAGATTCATTTATTCAAAATGTTTTATCTCTTAAACCGTGTGTCCAAATCTCGAACCGCTTTCGTCATTGGATTCCTCACGTCGAGATCTTCAAAACTAGATCCCATGTTGATAGGTTTTGACGAACTTTTTTTCCACGAAAAAACTGGACGAAAAAACCGAACCGGGAACACGGTTTTTTCCCCTTTCCGGAAGAGGCACGCCTGTTCCTCTGACGAAATCACAACTGTGCCTCTCGCGGAAACAAAACCGTGCCTCTCACGAAAGTAAAAAAATAGAAAACGGGTTTTTTTTCCTTTTTCGAAAGAGGTGCCTCTCGCGAAAGAAAAAAAAACAAAAAACGCGTTTTCCCCTTTTCGAAAGAGGCACGCCCGTGCCTCTCGAGAAAGCACAACCGTGCCTCTGGCGGAAGCAAAACCGTGCCTCTGACGGAAGAAA